GATGATGCCTTTTGTTTGGCTAGTCCTACATATGCCTTTCATTTGGCTTCGATGCCCATCGGTTCACTATCTGGTTAGATAGACCAATGAGATCCCATGCGATCCTTTGACTCGAGTATCAACTTTTTGAATAACCCGATTTAGTTCAATTGACTGGTCATGGCTCAGTTTTATTGGGGACCCACCTTGCTTGTCGTGTTGCTTACTCTTACTTCAAGATTTGTGCCACCCCAATCCGATCATACGATTAGAGATCACCTAAGACACTTTAAGAATGAATCTTAAGACTATGGTTAAGGCTAGGGATTTGATTAGTAATTTTTTTTTGTCTTTCTCAATAAAAATAAGGTCAACACATTATCCAATCTCAAATTTGTATATTTAAGCATCTACAAAGCTGATTTAGTACAATTTAACCAATGAAAGATTTTTCTTAATCACATGACAACGCATTTGAAGTAAAGTCACTTTACATCGAAAATGCTTTGAATTTTTCTAATAAAATTTAGAAAGTTTTGTATTTTAATGATTAAAATATTTATTATTTTATATATATTATAGAAAAATACATTAAATAACCTTAGAAAATCTCTGGATAAATTAAAATAGTTAATTTATATTATTTAATGCATGCTCTTATGTCTTTACTATCCTTTAAGAAATCTCATTAGTATTTCTGCTTGAAAGAAATCCAATTATGCATCTGTTTAATTTGTATTTGATTTTCCAAAAATAAGTGATAAGTGATATCCACATATTTGTTTGAATTTTCTTAAATATATTTGATATTTTATATAAATTATGCAATATTTGAACTAATTATATATTTTAAAAAATGTATATGCTTCTGATATATATGACAAATAATTTCATAAAATTATTAAAACATTTTATTACTTTAGTATTAATATAAATTTCTCTCACAGTTTTACTATATTTCCCAAAAATTTCATGTCATTGGACAAATATAGCCACATGATAGGTTGAAACATAACATTGCTTATTCAAATTGAAATATATTTAATTATCCATAGATTCAAAGCTTGGAGAATACCAGCCCAAAGCCTCCTTGATCTGGTTCATTCTGTCTATCTGGCCTGTAGAATCACCTAAGGCTGTAGTGAATGGATATATGTATGTCACCTTGGTGGCCATGGATCTGTAGGCAACAATGTCCCTTTTTACCAAAAACTCCATCACATCTCGCCCAATTCCCCCATCAACCTCCACTTGCAAATATCTCCCTAATAAAGAGTCAGAAGAGAGGTTTGTATCTAGGACAAGAATGTAAAAATGATTTGAAATTTGTAAAGAGAACTAGCATTTAGTGCTAAAAAAAA